CACTTTCTACAATCCAACCAGAGGACAACATGTGAGATAACATCTAACATGAAACAAAGTGAAACAGAGGGGGCGCTGCCAGTGGGCTTTTTTCCTGTCACACAAACATTAACATAAATAAGAAAAAAGCAGTTATCAGTTCAGAAGTTACTTTGTGTGAGTTGGTGAATTACAGTTATTAAATTCAGAAATCGTGAAAATAGTAATCCCAAAATTTGCTCTAATATTGTTTTATAAGTGAAAATTTTATATATATTTATTTTTAGTTTAACTTTCATGATTAACTTGATTTTTTTTAACTCGCTTTGATGAACATTTGATATTTTGTTTTATAATTGGATCTATATTGGATTAACCATTTGTTTATAGCACTTTGCATTTAAGAAAACTGCAATATAGCACAATTTCGTACAGTTTACAGTTTGTCATGATCAGCTTCTACATAGTGAGATACCATAACAAGTGTTGATGCATTTTGCTACATATACAGATATATGAGGATTTACGGCATATACAGTGCAGTCTATACGTAACTGTGACACAGTTTTTGTTGCACTGTCTGTATTTTCCAGCACATTCACCCTGAATTGACAATAATGTGATGTATACAGTGTAAAGTGCAGACTGCCAGCATATCAACTTATCAGTGGAACATGGTTGCACAGACTTGTATGGCTGCAAATGGAACTGACTCACTTGTTATTGATGATGGTATTACTGATAGTCTGCAGAAGCATCTAAACCTCTCAGATCCAACACAACGCTTCGATACCTAGTTCACAGTGCTTTACCTGGCAGCATGGCGGTGACCTGAATCGCAACTCAGTGGTTGGGAAAGTCCTTAAGTGAAAGTATGAGTTCTTTGTCAAAATCATACTCAGAAGTATGGAGCCAAAAAGATTTTTGAGTGAAAGTTAAAAGTATCTGCTTTAAACATAGTTTATAGCATAAAAGTAAAAAGTAGATCTTTTAATAAATAAATGAAAAGTTTTCTTTCTGTGGTGGTGTGTGATCAGAAGTACTAGTCCTTACACAAAGATAAATTAGCATAGTTATGAGCAGATTCATTTTACAATGATATGAATTTGGTTGGACGTCTTAATAAAAAACAATCAAAAAATCAGTTCAAATGCACAGGAACATGAGGAGTTTGTATTTCTCTTTTGTAAATGTAATAAAAAAAACTAAAAGTATAAGTGTTCAGTTTCAGTGATACTTCCGTAAAGTACAAATCTTCCAAAGTAATACTTAAGTTCTACTAACAAAGAACAATTCAAAGAAGTATTTTCCACCCATGAAGCAACTGTGGAGTTTTTCAAAGTCAGAAAGCAGTCTTGGCTTTTTTGGCTTCACCACCACTATTTTACTAACTGAAAACTGAAGGCAACATTAGGAACTGAAAATGGTTTCATTATAGGCTGCTCAAAGCATCACTAGGGAAGATACTCAGTGTCTGCTGATATCTGTGGGTCAGAAGCTTCAGGTAGTCATTGATTGCAAAATATTTGCAAGACAAGCCACAGTTTCATTTCTAGTTTTGTTTTTTGTTTGGTTGCTTTTATTTCTACATGGCTCATCCAATATAAAGCATTCTAGGGGATTAGTTCAAAGTGTGGTCCCACAGCACACACACACACACATAGCATTGCCTTCATGCAGTGCCGGCTTTAGCATATTGGGCGTCCTAAGCAGGATCTTTTTTGGGGGCCCTCATCTGCCTTGGCTCACCCCCCCAGTCCTACGCCTTGTAAACAGTTTTAAAAAGCTTTATATTAAATGATCAAATTGAGCAACTCATTTGATGTGTTATGTTCCTGTTTTAGCTGTCTTCGTGATTGAATACCGTCATAGTATGTTTGTTTTGAGTCTAATTTTGTTTATTAAAAAGCCAAGTGGAAGATTTAGTCTCTACATTTAAACATTTGCTTAATAAATAATCTAACTATATGCATAGGAAACTATTCCTTTGCACAAACTATATTAACAATGAATTAACCTGTGAAACAGCAGTTTGGCAGCTGTTTCTAAAGCAAATATTAGAATCAGTAAATGAGTGGTGCCCTCCAAATGGTTTAGTGGTGTAGAAAAATGCAAGCATTCTGGTGTAAGAGCCACCTGCAAGATATAGGGATTTTCCCTGTGCACTGAAATCTGAGATTCATTGTATGAGGTAAGCATTTCAGCCAAACAGACAGCAACTATGTAATTAAGCAGAGCTTCACAAAGGTTATTTTCCACCAACTGTCTCCTGGGAGATGAAAAAACTATTACCGTAGCATTATAAGCCTCTGAAAGGTCTCAAGTCTTCACAAGAAAAGTGAACTTCGCCAAAAGGCTGTTGTAATCTAGAAGTAAATAATGACAAGTACAAAGCTTTGCAACTCGGTCTCAGTGTGGTTGCTAGATCGGTTCAACTTCAGCCTAAGTTAAATGTTTGACCAATCAGATTGTCTACATTTTATGTCTTTGGTGCATGATAACTAGCATGTTTGATTTGATTGGAGCCCTCTTTCTCACACATGTACTGCATGCTGATGGCTTGTGTGCATGATGAATGTGACCTGTATGAGCTGTAACCTGATCTCCTAACTTCCCCATTCTCCTGGAGAGGCCCAAAGCTCACACTGAGCAGGTTTTTGAGATGTGCCATCATAAACTAATGCATGTGTGTGTGTGCTTGTGACGAAGCACGAGGGAGGAGCTTGACTGGAACTGATAGAGCTGTTGGAGATCATGTTTTTTTTGCCCTGGCAATGTTCCAGGGCTGAAATACCGTTTATAACTCTCACAATGTTTCTTTTAATCACACACACAAAAAAGTACAGTAAACCTCTGGTGCATATCTCCTATTGGCCCAGCAGTTTGTGTAATATGAGATTTGTGTCCTAGCTGCAAGATATTCTAATTTCCCCCACCTCCCTCCCACATACAGACACGTACAACAGAAAATATGCTGGAGAACAAGGCTAGAAATTTGTTAATTCATGGTTAGGACTTCGCAACAGTTGGATGCTTGTGGTGGCCTTTCCCATAGTCACCCATTCTCAGCTCAAACCAGTCTAAAACACAAACCTAGATCACAGATGAAGATTAGATTTATCCTGAGCTTCATCTTGCTCTAAAGCCTCGTCAGTTCGATCAAGGCGGATCAAACCAGACCTCTTACCTTATTTTGGTTATATAGCTGTCACTGATGACTCTAATTAAAACAAACGTCATATTCAATCCAAATTATCGCCTGTATCTTAGACAAAAGCCAAGTGAAGGAAATCCTTTAGTGACATCTTCGTCACCAGGGCAGCTTTCAGCTAATCTCCCTCCTATTTCCCTCCTTCTGTTTATAACTGCACATGCCTGAATTGTTTTGCTGTTTGTGGTTTGCTGTGCTACAGACAGGCAGGAAGCTACGATTTTAACCTGCAGTCTTCTTGATAAGACGTGAAAGGTCCTAAATTCTCAGGTATTGACGTATTTATAGGGAAGAGACTTCTCACCTTTTCTGATTCATTAAAGGAGAAACGGACTGTGTTACACGGAAACAGTGTATCTCTTGCATCACATAGTTTAGCTGTACAACTGTACAACTGAATCTTGACAAAAATAATATGAGAAATCATATATATAAAAAGGTACACCACTGTGTCAAATCATGTTTTTGCGTGCCTTTAAAAGTCATCTTACATTTAAATTCACAGTTAATATTTTATTTATCCCTCATATCCCCAAACCTTTGGCCCACATGAAGCATAAAAGCTTGCAGTGCTCTTTGAGGCTGGGATTCACCAAACCACATATTCTAATCTGCAGCACAGCAGACTATTAGACGACATGCCAGATCCTGTTGCGGAGGCTCTGAGGATGGTGCGTCATAAAAGAACAATCACACAGCCTCTTATGTCTAAATGAACTGATATACGTACATCAGAGCAACCAGACTAGAAGAAGTAGAGGTACTTTCTGCTACAGAGACTAGTCAGCATTTCACTCAGTGGACCACTCTGTACTGGCTTGTGCTGGTACTGCAATATTCAGGATAACTTACTATTGCTCTGCTGATGATGCATGAGGTTCATGGTAGTTCATATGTACTCCAGTGGACCAAAGCAAAGGCTTGTTGTGTGATGTGAATAATACACATGAGAAGGAGCCTGATTGAAAATGAAATAGCTGATTGTGGTGATCTTTTTGCCCTGGCAGTGTTCCAGGGCAGATAGGGTTTCCATGCTACTCATGGTTGAACTAACTATGATGATGTTTTTGCCCTGGCAATGATCCAGGGCGAACATGCTATTTATCATGACACTCACAATATTTCTCACATGAATAATGTGAAGATCATGTTACTTGATCTGCTCACTGAAGTGCACTTAAAGTCAAAAGCTGTTGTCACCAAAATAAATTAATTTATGACATCACATCACATTTCAGGGAGATCTAACACAGTAAAGAGTGTACGTATGATGTATGTGTATATCTATACACACACACACATGTGAAAGAGAAAGTGAAAGGAAAGTACTTTGGTTGCTTCAAAATTATCATATGACAGTCCAGATAATCCAGAATTGCAAAAGTGGTTGGGCAACCCACCTAAAAATGTATTTCTTGTTTTAATGTTAGACTTTACTTAATTACTGGAATAGAAAGTGTGCCAAACAGACTTATTTCACAATCAGAATATTCCAAATATGAGTAGAAATATATCATGCTGCTTTGCAGAGCAAGTATATGTAATCATCATTATGGTGGCAAGTTGCAATGGCCCTTGTGAAAGACTTCATAACCACAGAATAAGCAATGTGACACATTAATTGATATTATGGGCTTCACACCCAAAAACATATTTCACAGTGTCATTTCTGTGCAAATACGTTTTTAAAGCACTGCTACAAGCATTGTGGATAAATGCAGTTCATTCAACAGGAAGAACTTCTAAAACACATACTCACACACAAACAATGTTTTTTTTATGTCATTTTATTGTATAAAAATATCAAACATTTAAAAAAATGCATTCAGAAAAATATGAAGTACAATTGATTTCACCATGAAGCTGAAACAAGTACCATAGAAACCAGTAAGCAACAAATAAGGCTCTTTGCCAGTGAATATTATAAAATAGCAAAGAAAAAATATCAACATGTTCTAAAGGCATAACATAACTTCAGTTATTCTGTAAAGGCTTTGTGTAAGAAACTGTTTTCTTTAAACATAGTATTTTGAGAACTTTGGATGGAACATTTCTTTAATATGACATAGCCATTACGCAGGGTTTGAAGTCCCTGCAAGTTCCAGAGAACAGAATTACTTTGCCACACTTGGGAAAGCTTGGATGCTTTTTCCAGAATTCCCAAATATGACCTTCAAAATCTATGTACATAAATGCTCATTGAAATCATGCTGCCTTTTTGACATGACAGTGGTGTTTTACAGTAATATTTACCTCATAGTTAAATGAGCTCACATGATCTTGAAGAAAAGAAAAAAAACACAAAGCATTAAATGGAGCCTATATTCATGGCAGAAATTATGGTTTCAGCTATCAAATCTCAAAACAATAGCATGTATATCGTACTCTCCATAGTTCAGTGCAGTGTTGAACTTGATCCTCTGAATTATTCTTCACTGAACTGCGGTGTGTTGTTACTCTGGATAGTAGGGCCAGTTCAGTTCATGGACCATGGAGAAAGATGGGGTTTGTGTGTTCCTCTGCCCTGGCCCATTGGTCCCACTATTGGTTGCCTGCCTCATGGGCTCCTGGGAACTGCCATTGGTTGATGGGTAGTTAAGCATGGTGAAGGACTGTGTGCATTCAGAGGGGGCAGAGCTGGCAGGTCCCAACATGGTAAGATTACTCTGACCTGGAGGCTCTTGTTTTAAATGCAGACCCGTCTGAGAGCCCACCAGGCTCTGGAGAATCTCACTTCCATCCTGGCCCTCTGTGTATGGGTAGCTCATCCCCATCATGCCACCTGTGTTTGGTGCCCCATTCTGTGTCCCCTGAGCCCCCTGGAGCTCAAAGTTAAACCACAGTGATTCTCCAGAAGTAACAGATTCCTTCCTGTGGGGAGGCTGCTGGGCATGCTGGACATTCTGGTCTTGTTGCTCCTGCCGAGGCTGGCTGCTTGAGGGGCCCTGGGTGTCGAGAAACTCCAGATCCACTGAACTCAGTAAAGGTAGGCTGCTTCCACTCTCGCCCGTGGTGTTGAGGGTGGGAACGGGGTTAACTGGGTTAACTTGTTGCATGCCCACCCCATTACTGGGCCCAGGGCTGCTATTTGCTGTGTTAAAGTGAAGTGAAGAACTGGGCCATTGATTGAATGCTGCAGGAGCTGGAGATGCTGAAGCTGATGGCATCATGTAGCTGCTGTTGTACATGCTCTGTTGATTTGGTCTCATCATTCCATGGCTGGGGAGCTTTCCATAGAAATTTGTCGGTTCTGTGGGAGATGCATGTTGATATGCACAATATTATATACAGTCCTACATGGCAGTAAACATTAAGAACACAAACCAAAAAGACAGTTTCTTACCAGTTTTAATTCTTTGGGCCATTTTTGTCCTGCCCATAGGGCCCATAGGTCCAGATGTAAAGCTGGAGAAGGATTTCATTAGACTGTCTATTTTTCGCTTCTTCTCCTGACAGCCATAAGGATCTAAATGAAACAGACACATTTTGAGCAAGGGAACAACTTAAGACTAGGACACATGGTGCAAAAATTTCAGCATTTGTCAGGTGCTTTCTTTTAACCTTACATACAGTTATAAATGTATAACAAATGTGTAACAACTATAGATGTGGATTTAAGGGTGACTTGCTGATTCATAAATTACTTTATGGGTCAGTTTAAAGTGAAAGAAAGGGAAGTCTTACCTTTGTCATCAGGTAGGTACCTGAACTCCATGGGCTCGCTCACCTCTTGGTCAGAGGGGCGGCGCAGTTGCATGTGTACAGTGATGGGAGATGTGATGGAGGTGTCACAGTAGGCAGGTGTACGAAAGACGATGGCCACCTGCCTGTGCACATCTGCCTGAGAGAAGGAGCCTCTCGCCTCCCAGGTCTGGGTGAAGAAGCGCACCTCTATATCGTCTATAGTATGATGAGGGATTGAGGGATGAGGTGAAAGATGTGAGAATTAATGAAATGATGAGGAAAGCATGCGAGTATGAATTCATAAATGAATGGCTGAAGGTATGTAAGGTATGAAAGTAGAATGTCAGGATGAATGAGTGGATGAAGAAATGAACACATGGACAGAGGAATGGAGATTCAAATGAGTAATTTCTTTGCATGCTCTACGAAGAAGGTTTCTACCTTTCTGCACTTTATCACAAAGCAGGAAGATCTCATCGCCGCCCTTCACGCTCCCGCTGTTTTTGTTGACCCGGCAAATGCGCAGCTCTGCTGTGTTTGGGGCTCCTGGAGAGCGATGAAAACAATGAGGTCATAGATTAAAAGGTCAGGTCACTATTTATGACAAAAAAAGGCCCACAAGGCCATAAAAACAGAGACTAGCATGAGCTCTGATAAGATGATTCCTATATTGCTCTCTGTAACTGTATCAACATACCAGGAAGTGCATGAAGTAGCTGTTTTAGAACATTAAAGTGGGGCTGTTTGGGGCCTTGACTTTGAGTACACAAAGGTGTCTATGATAGGGGCAACTGAAAGAGCCTAAATAGCAGTGTCAGCCAGGTAGTAGATTTGTTCTACCATGCTTCAAAAGAATTCTACCTCATCTCACCTGGCTTACAAAAACTCTTAAAACAATAAACACCCAAAAATGTTTCCTTCCTGTACTGTGACACCCACTCTAACTGCATGTAGTATGGACAAGCACAGTGGCTCATAAATTGCTCTGTGCAGTGGCTTCCGCTGTGCACTGTACTCAGGAAGTGCTGAATGGGGCATGCTCACTTCCTGTGAAGTACTATGCCCCAAAGACAGCTCTGTGACTTCTGAATCATCATGCATATTCTAACATGTCTCTTAAGCTTGTCTGCAGCTTGAGGCATCCCCAATCCTTAACTCGCTCTATGTGGGCCCAAAATTGAGCTCTTCGCTTTCATAACTATGTAACTTATGTATTAGCTTTACAGTAAAACTGAATAATTAATAGTAGTTACTAAATAATTCAGTTGTTACTGAATATAAGCCTTAAGATTAATAGCTGAATAATAGTCTAAGGTTCAAGAAGTTAACTGAAACCCCATCTTGACGCTCCATTTTTGCATACAGCATTCCTGAAGCTAAAACTGAATTTATTCAGTAAATCATTCAGATAAAATGTCTTGTCAGGTATCACATTACACAAAGGCTATTCAGCTCCAGTGCTGTTCAGTGACTATAGTAGGTGTATTTGGTGGGCACTCACGGTTGTCATAGATGGGATTAGAGATGACAGGGGACAGTGCAATGCTGTAACGTCCAGCCTCGTCCTGCAGAAAGACTTGGAAACACAGACGCACCACGTTCAAGTCGTACTCCTCCGTCTGCAAGAGCTGCTCCCGAGGAACTGCACATTCAAAAACACAAACAGCACAAACATTAGTATGTATTTCCTTTTTGTGTTTGATAACGAAGTGCTTCATTGTTAAGTTCTGTTCTATTGTGTTTTCTATTGTCCCTCTAGTTTTCCTTTGTTTTATTTTTGTGATAAACATATGCATCATTGTTTGGCTCTGATTTTGAGGCTTTGCAAAGTGATCTTGCGTTTAGGAAAGGTATTCTATAAATAAAATGTACTGTTGTTATTGTTATTATCATTAGTGTTAATAATAGCATATTCCCTAAGACCGTTTTCATTTTGTAGAGTCTGCAGTCCTTAACCCCCTAAACTTGTAAGGGCTTGGGCCCACGTCTCAGTTGTTTCTGTCTCTAATAACTGTAAGTTTTATAGTAGTTATCAAATAATACGTAGTAGTTTATTTATTACAAATATTATCATTATAATTAATAAGCATAAATATATTATTTATATATCGCTGTCCAAAATAGTAACTTTTCAGGAGAAGACAAAAATGTTCTTAACTTTTAATGTAAGCTGTCATTACGATAGTTTGGAGCATTTCAATTTGCCCAAACACTGTGAAATCTGAACAATGCACAGTGTTTTACACTATGTGAAGGACAGTATTCAAATGATATAGACAAATAAGGGTTTAAAAAGGGTTTGTTTTCTTTGAACAGTGACCCCATTATTGTAGTTGTTATTATTATAACGAATGAGATCACATCATATCTTGGTGTTATCACATCATATGGGAAAGACTGACAGTCAGACGAAGAAAAAAACAAAAACAGCAGCAGACTGCATCACCATGATAATGCGTGTGCCAGACGAAGAAATGACTTAATTCAAAGGCTGATAATCTTGAATATCTCTGAGTGACTCTCTCTCGACGTCATAACATTGCAAATACTACTCAGCGGTATCCCCACTGACACATGCGCCCACACAAACACAGAGACATTGGCTTATATTGAGAGACGCACACACACACACACACACACACACACACATCCCACACAAAATGCGTGCGACGTTTTCTCGGTGCGTGCATGCTAGCCCACTCTTTTTCTCTTTCGGGTGCGCTCTCGCAGTGGACTAGCCCGCCCACTACTGGTGTGACGCGCGGGTGACAGCCTGAGGTGAGGTCACAGGTGGAAATATCACAGCGAAGCGAGAAGTCAGAGGGGTAAGGGACGGATGACGACTCTGCAGCGAAGAGGCTGCTAACCTGACACTTAGAGCACTGCCTCTGCTCAAACCACAAAGCTCCGAGGAGGGAAAAAGAGAGGGAGAGGAGGATAGATGCTGAAATGGGAGTTGAGTGTGCAGACACTAGGGGAGAGAAGCAGACAGAAAAACAGCTAAGCAGACAGATAGCTGATGTATAGAGAGAAGGTGGGAGGCTGTGAGTGGGTGTAGAAGATAGAGGCAGAGTGTGAAAATGAGGAGGTGGTGTGCGTGCATGCTTTTTTGCATATACATAAACGTGTGTGCATAAGGGGACAGAGAGGCGCATAGACAAACACTCAAGGCTTGTGGGTGTTGAGAGGGCGATCATTTGGGTTAGTGTGGGCAGGCAGCGGACGAAACACAGAATGAGGGAGCTGAAGGAAAGGTAGATCCTCCATCCAGTGGGCATGGTGCCATTACCAGCACCTACACACGTCTCCAGCCACTGCACTGTCTAACACATTTTCTCACATTATTCATGAGTTCTTTTTTGGCAATGTTCCCTCACCTCATACCCAAGCCGCACGTCGTCATCAATCTAAATAACATTCAGATATTATTCAAATAGTTGTGGAAAGCTAATTACAAGCCATTGATGCCGTCACCGCATGAGTCAGAAAGGCCAATAACAGTGGGACTGCTTTAGTGAAAGTGATAGCATTGCATGCCTGACTAAACATCACAACTAATATCAAAAGCATTCTCATTACACTCTCATTATGCAGCCACAGTCTACTTAGACTACCATGGGAGACTCTAGCAGTGGGCAATATGATGAAAAGTTTGCATTATTGTGATAAATTATTATCACTTGTAATGTATTGTTATTGTGTGTGAGTACACAATGATTATTGCTTCCTTGCTACGCTCAACAACTGCATCTATCATAAATAAAGATAAAATTAAAAGAGCCTGGAAACACCAACAATGTGTACAGTGCACAGTAGCTGCATAAACTACAAGTAACTGCAGTAACTGCAAGTAAGTATTTTATTAATTTATTTTTACTAAATGTTAAATATTTCCTTGTTTTTTTTCTCAAAAAGTTTAAGAAACAATGTTGAAAAAAAAAATTATTATATCCAAAATATATTTTTAGCCTTTTTTAAACATGGCAAACTCTTTGCCGGTGCATTCATATTGTTTAGAAAACCTCAGAAACACCTAAATATCAGGATACATATAATTAATTGCAAAAATGTCCGCAAGTTTGTGACGCCACATCGCCCACCCGTAGTAGATTCTTCTACATGCTAAACGTACTATCTCTGATCATAAAAGTTGTGTTGGGTTTAGGAAGGAACAGAGTGGGACACATCATCACTTCAGGAAGCACTGAGCCCTCAGAGCGGAAGTGAGAGTGATCACCAAGTCACCTTGGAGACAAGCTAATGACCAAGAGGAAGTAATAACAGGACAACGTAGCCCGTTGTGAAATGTCCTTCTACAGTGACCAACTGACAATCTGATTCTCTCAGTGTCCAAAAAGGGATTGTTAAAGGGTCCTAAGAGGCACTGTGGGCTAATGGATGCAGCCATTCACCCTTAGGGTTCCTGCCAGCAAGATGAACCATGTTAGCATATTAGCAACACTAAAGAATTCTGGATGCTGAAGGTAAAAGCTTCAGCAGTATCATGTTGGTACAGTGCCACTGTGTTTAGTCACTGTGCCCATGTCCCAGTGATCATTGATAAATAAATACTTGGCAAGCAGTAATACCTATTAATTACTGAAACATGACCATGTAAAATACATTATACAGTTTCTACTTCCTCTTGAAGTTTTCAGGCAGTGCAAAATAAAGAGTTTTTTCAGGAGTGTGCCTCTATTCCTGCTCTGAATAAATTCCCCCTGGTCACATGCAATGTAACACCGCAGCCAGTTGTGCAACAGTTTGTTAAAAAAGAGAAGTGACTTTTTTTTCTCTTATCCTAATGATACCACCATAGCTTGAACTACAGGAGTAACAGAAAGCAAGTCACTGGTCTGTATGTTGTAATGATTTACAATGAGTCACCTGTTTATGTATCTGATCTCAAATCACTCTTATTTTATTTATCACTCTTAATACAACTTTAATCACTGTCAAACTGTAAGAGCAAAACAAAAGACTGCATGGAAAAAGTCATAAGAATCAGATCTCACCACTAAAGGGGTTGATGCCTCGGTTCACTCTCTGCATGATGGCATCTCTAACCTCTCTTCTCCTTACACACTGGATGCCCAGGTTTTGGAAACTGTGAAATAAATCAAATAACAGTCAAGCTGACCCCTTGTTTTGAAAGTGAAGTCAGTAAGTCCATTGATTCGCACAAATTAGGTGGTTCCAGTAACTCCAATACTAACCACGCTAAGAAAAATCGTACTGATTTTCTGAATTTTAAACCACGAGAGATGGCCAGGCTGATAATTCTGAGGGCTGGACAGAACACTGTAGCTCTAAGGTACGCATTTTGCATACCAGGGGAATCCCCTCACTGCTTCCCCTCTCTGGAACAATTTTTTTTATATTAAAAAAAGACACACAGATCTTTTAAAGAGTACTGCAGCAGCATGCAGATGGTGTGTGTACATATGGGGGTGGGTAGGTGGGTGTATGGTATTCTGACATTAAACTCCACAAAGAGAGGGGAGCAGGAATGACTTTGATGTGGAGCACAGTAATGTTTTAACTTCATTAGGAAAGAAAATGGCAACGGGACAAAAACACACTGTCGAACAAATAAGCAGTGGATTTTCTAGCCAGCTTCTTCACAAGTTTTACACTGTTCCATCTACATGATTTTTCACGGGCATTTCATAAGCATAATGTACAAAGAAAGCATGATTCAGCATGAACAGTCATATTTAGAGTGCATACAGAGTGTCTTGGCTCACTTTTTGTTTTAATGCTTTGACGGATGAGTTCATTGATAGTGCAGACTTACGCAATGACCCTGCGTTCAGGTCCGAATTCTGCTTCATAGTAACCATCCTTACAGTCTTTTCCAACCAGGTCATGTGGATGTGGTCTGTAGGGATCATTCTTGGTCACCAAGGACACACGCACTTTTCCTTTTCCACAGGTATTCAGAATCTGAGAGCAAAAAGTAGAATGTCAGAAAAGCAATCACTGCCTATCTGGATAGGGAAAGGACTGGCAAAGATGGGCAGTAAAATACTGTAGGAGTCTTTAAGAAAAGGCCCTATCGATACCTGAATGCTTGGGTAAGTCCTGTTATTATCCGAGCTTCTCTCTCCAGGTATACTGCCCGCTGAACGGCCCTCGCATTTATACCTGAAGCGCATGCCTCTTTGTTTGGGTTGTTCAAAGATCTGAACACAGGGCTCTCCCACTAATGAAAGACAGGGTAAGAGAGAGAGCAGAGGTGAGACAGTGAGGGTTGATTGCAATCATTTACAATAGTTTGTATCAGCTAGCTTTAGAAGACACCATAACGAATCATAGACTTCTCCAAAGAAAAAGCAAAAGTTTTAAAGCAAGCAGCATCAAGACAGAAAGCAGAAAGACATCATTAACCATTAGCAAGCAGTGTGAGGTCATAAGTAGAACCGCTAAACTGTAAAGATCTAAACATCTGCAGACCGCAGCATTTTCCTCAGAACCTGCTCAAACCACCCCAAACAAGAAAAAAACATCAAATAATTTCCCCCTTGCTACACCTGTCAGTGCACTTCTCACAGGCTCTCTCAAATCAATGGACCACAGTGGACCACAAAGGCAGATTATGATTATCAAAGCTGCTTCACACACCTGCTCAGATGCAGCTGCGTGTGGCACGAGATGCTCAAGGTTCCTGTTCCAGTTTTCTCTCTTCATACACAAACTAACACCTTAAGTGCATCTGTCTGAACTTTACACACAGCAGTTTTAGCAGAGACTACTATGGTTTCACAGGGGTCCAAGAACTGATTCCAGGTGCATTTCATGGTTCCCTAATGGGACCTAAAGGTGTGCTACAGGAAACTGGTGGTCTTTGGGCCGATTCCCATTAGACAGCGAAACCATCAGGTTTTAATCCTAATGGTTCAAAAGGTCTTTTTCAGCAGGGCTCACTCTTAAAAAGATGGTCCTCCAATGGTTCTTTAGTAAAGAAAATGGTTCTATATAGAATCATGAATGCTCATATAACCCTTTGCATGTTTAAAGGGTTCTCTGCATCATGATTGATGGAGAACGTTCTGTAGATGGTTCTATAGGGTTCTTCTATCATTACGATGTCAAGCTTGTGTTCACGGTTCTGTATAGAACCGTCTTTTTTTTACTAAAGAACCCTTGAAGAACCGTAATTTTTAAGTGTGTAGAGCAGTAACTCTTTTACCTGGTATCTACAGCACACAGGAAGTGAGTGTCACTCTACAAACGAACACTCAGCAAGCCACCCATGGCCAAAAAGAGGGAAGTAGTCAAAAAGTTATAAAGGCGGTTATAGATCATTATAAGCATGTAAGCATGTAGAGAAAAAGCTTTACACTTGGCAGAGAAGTAATGTTATTAACTTACTGTTCAGCATGGGAAAATGAGCTGCGCAAGGAAAGACGAAATGGATCAGGAGATCAATACGGTGAACAGACAAATGCAAAATCAGAAGACATTTGCGAGCAGTTCTGCTAATGGGAACTTCAAGTCAAAACCAGTAGAAGGAGGTTCCTCATTTTGATTTCCTGGTGCAGATTTACCCGTCATGGATCTCAGTCAGATCGTTCATGTAGACTGCATTCTACCATTAACCATTACGTTTAAAACGCGAAGGTACTTGGTTATGATGTTGAATCAGGAAATAAAAAAGTATTTCTTCATGTTGCCTCTGGCCGAGACTTCCTCCGAGTTGTGAAACGAAGAGCAATCATTATTTTAACGGATGAACTGGTTGTTCTAGTCAGAGCAAAAAGCCAGTGGTAACCGGAATCAAGTACAAAATACAAGCGCTTAATCTACGAGAACAAAACAGTCCACTAACAGAGAACTAGGAACCTGGTGTCATTTAATATCGCTTAAACTAAACACATTATCCTTTGTTCCGCATCTGTGTAAATGTGGAGTCTGATATCTTAATTAGTAAAGAAAAGCTGTTAAGGCGGGAAAAGTGAATTAGCTTAGAGAATCATTAAACACTGTTACTCACCATCCATTTTGGTGGACACCCTTACGGCAGCGCACTGTGTATGTGTATGAGCTCCAAAGTGAATGAGCAAAGTGTTACTCCCAGAGAGGCGGGGAATTCCCCCTCTGCTCCGTGCTCCTCCCCTCTACCAGCTACACACACACACACACGCACACACACACACACACACACACACACACACACACACACACACACCCACATATATATATATATATATGTATATATATATAGTATACACAAACCATAACGTTAAAACCATCTCCTTATTTCTACACTCATTGTCCACTTTACCAATTTCACTTACCATATAGGTGCACTTTGTAATTCTACAATTACAAACTGTAGTCCATCTGTTTCCCTTCGTACTTTGTTAGCCCCTTTTATCCTGTTCTTCAATGATCAGGACCCCCACAGAGCAGGTATTATTTGAGTGATGGATTATCCTCAGCACTGCAGTGACACTGATGTTGTGGTGTCGTGTTAGTGTGTGTTGCGCTGACACAGACACAGCAGTGCTGCTGGAGTTTTTAAATATCTCAGTATCACTGCTGGACTGAGAATAGTCCACAAACCAAAAACATCCAGCAGCATTCTGTGACCACTGATGAAGGACTAGCGGATGACCAACACAAACTGTGCAGCAAGAGATCAGCTACTGTCTCTCACTTTACATCATCAAGGTGGACCCACAAGGTAGGTGTGTTTAATACAGTGGACAGTGAGTGGACACAGTGTTTAAAAACTTCAGCGGCACTGAAGTTTCTATTTTTCTGGGCAGTACACATTTGTCTGCTTATTGATATGTCTGTCAATATGTTTATTTAATCCTTTTCAAACCTGTCCTCATGGCAGCCCAGTATTATTTGTAGATATCATCCAAAACCTGATTTGGCTAATAAATTTTTCATTAAGTTAAATCAGTTGTGTGGATTTGAACTGGCTGGGGGCATCGAAGGGAAACCTGGAACACAGCCTGTCTCCTTCTAACTAGCTCATAAGATCAACTACTTTGTTTGAAAACATCAAATTCTTGTTATTTTCATGGTATTTATGTTTATTTGTGTTTGTATATTTTGATTTTCCTGGCAAAAACACACAAGATAAATAGGTTCTGTTCTTGACGTTTCTTTGTCCCTTATTTGTATCTTTGTAATTGAAAATTACTAATGAAAATAAAAAAAAATGACATATCTAGCTTATTGATACCTCCTTTCAGTAATAGGGGTCAACATAGTAATTTTTACACCATGTCAGAAAGCATGCCAAAAGGTGAAGTCTACTGATTTACATGAGGTCTTGAATATCTGTTTCACAGACACTATTAAAGTTGGTGCGAAAACTCAAAACTGAATGCAGTGGTGCATGCAGGCTCCTTCAGTACTTCTGGAAATCGAAAAAGGACCCTTAGATGTCCGCTGTTTAGATTTTATACCTTTCCTGATTATTAAGAAAAATATAAAGCAACTGACTAACATTCAGGAACTTAGGAAAGTGACTGATTTCTGTATAACCCACTCTATCTCTGCTTCGGTGAAAGAAGAGCTTCAAAGTTTATTAAGCACTTAGCATGGCTAATACGTATCCTGCATGTCCAAAAGTTTGCCACTTGCTAATTCAAAATCAAGGGGTTTAATAAGGAGTTTATCCCCCTTCGTCTCTCCTCTAAATGTTGCAACACTGCTATGATGATTTGATTGCAGTCACAAGAGCATTAGTGAAGTCAGATACTCAGGCTGGATGGTCAGCTCTAGACTACAAACACCACTCCAACTCATTCCAAATGTATTAGATGGAGCTCCATTACTCCATCCAACGCAATGCTGTTCCGCGCTGAGAAGCTGGATACTCCTCTAGTCGACGCTGGGCACTGAGTATGGTAACCCCCCAGGCTCATGTGCGGCTGCTCCAGTGCGTCCCCTTCTGCTGCCTATGCTATTTTTGTATGGACATCAAGCCGCGTGTGAAGTTGAACGAGTGCACTTTTAAGTAGCTGCATTCACGAATGAGAGTAAGTGTCTGAATCTCTCTTGGACACAGTATATCTTGAGACTGATCCGGTAAAACTGAGGCAGGAGTGCAGCGCAGTAAAGATTGAGGGCCTGTGCTGTTGTCAAGGGTAATCCCCTCGTGACGTCACTCGCCTACACGGACAACCGGGAATCTCCCAGAAAACAACACGAACGAGGAAGTTTGGTCCAGACAATAAAACATAAACACACCCAGCGGGTCTGTCACCTTCTCTAATCGTAGTACACGACAGCCTAGAAAAATAAAAAATGAGCACACTACATTTAGCGGGGCGACGGTTTGTCTTCTGCACAAGACGCCCCAACTGGACTTTTTTTCCTCTCTCTCTCTCTCAAAAAAACAAAAAACAAAAAAACCCTTATTAGGAGAGAATGATAGTTCATCTACACTTTTAAAACACATTCGGTCTCAAACGAGACACACCAGTGTGTTACGTTTAACAGAAAATGTGTTGAAATATTTCTTTCCCCCGTTATGGATGACATTTTTGGTTACTTTTAACACCAAACGTGTTTAATCAGAAAACAATGACACAAAAAGTGTTAAAACGGGTAACATAAGTTAGTGTGTTGTTATTTAACACATCACTTTTTGTGACTGTATAATGAAACGTAAAGCAACTAAACATCAGCTCTCAGTTTACTATCGTGTAACTATTGTGATTGTACTAAACCACTGTAGTTATACGATGCCTTATAAACAGCCGTAACGTATTTCGTCCTACGCTCCAACTCCATCACACTTCACTCCCAGATTCCGCAACTTTAAATGCTTACAGCTCACAACCCGGGCCGGTTTGGCAGTTCGGTGCAGTTCAGCTTTTTCCTCTCGAAGGCAAAACGACTGAGGTTTGCTGACATCACGCCGTTCAGCGCAGGAGCAGAAAAGGATTATTCCACCAAACTTCCTATGAGGAAATCGACCACTACGTGCAATACAATGGAATGTACAGAGTTCTATAAACAGTAGACCAGCAGTAAAGACAACAGAGTCGGGATGGGGTTTTGTGAAACTTTATGGTCTCAGTTCAAAGGAGGCAGAATACATTACATACAAAAATACGTTTCGAAATAACTTTTTTGCCCTACCATAAAAAATAAAAATAAAAATAAAAAAAAAAATCAGGACAAGTGTATTTACTACTATATAATGCACATATATAGTAGTTTCCCTAAAGCAAGTTCAACAAGAAGACTCAAAACCGAGCGGTGTAAATGATGTTCTGAAGAAAACTCCAACTGCAATGCCTGTGATATAAAAATTACATGGTACAAATAAGCAAATATAAATAAAAGGTTAAGGAACCCCGAAATTAATAGTAAGCCTCTTTTTGAAATAATACATTGATGCTTCTCTGTACAACGGGCAAAAACAGTGGTTTATGGGAAGGGAAAAAAAACAAAAAACCAAAACAAATGGGAAATTCAACATTTCATTTGTAACTTTTTGTTCTCACTGAAATTAAGATGCTGCCAAAGAAACCTCCATGGGAGGCGCAGGGGTGAAGCCCTAAAGTCAGGGAATAATTTTGTCACTCATTCGCACACGTGCACACATACACACTAAATTCACTCTGAGGCCATTCAGCAAAGCTATAAACCATTTCAGCAAAACACAAGGCTACTCATGACCTGCTCAGTAATCCTCGCCCTACTAACCATACCCAACAGCAGCCCTCTCACTTTGTTGCTGGAAGGGTAAATACATCTGTAATGGTTCACTGGGTTGATATCAGTAAAGGGGTCCTAGTTATGACAATGCAGGTCCATTCGCACACAAAGTCCTCCTCAAACCCCCATCAGAACCTATACAATGATAACAAAAGACCGTGAGGAGGAAAACACTGACAAAAACAATGGGGATTCTTTTACAAGAACAAACAAGACATTTTTTTTAAACTTTTTTTTTTGTTAGTAAAAACTACATTAGAATGGTATAGAAAGACTAACAATGATTTTAAAGACATTATATACAAACTACACCTACTGTACAAGTTTCGCTTCAAAACACTCTCAGATAGGTGTTTACTTAGCAAGCATTGACACATTAAGGCGGTATTAAAAAAAATATATATCAAGAGTCTTATACTTTACAATTATAACATTTACAATGTCATCCGGAAGATCAGATGCACGCCATAGGCAGCCAGAGCACTCTCATTGGCCACAGTGGTCTGGCTCTGTGCAGACAGCTGTGTGAAAGAGGGTGAACTCAGAAAGAGGGAAACCTGGAGTGGCTGCCACGCTCAACATTACCTGCGGAGAGCTCACTGTTATCGGTTAAGAGTGAGCCTGATTGAGTTCTTAATGACACGCAAGTTGCTTGTGGGAATGGGAGAGGAGGCATCTGGTAGCTCCTTACTGGGCAGCCTCTGAAAAATAAAAAATAAAATAAAAAATAAAACCCAGACAACTACATGTCACAAAGTATCAGGTTTAATCAGTGTCCTGAATAATGACATACTGAGTATACTAAATACCTGTGTCCTTGATGTATCAATAGTTGGAATGGGCATAGGTTTTGTCATTGCAGGACCCTCCTGTTTAAAACAGATTTCAGTCAGCTGATTGTAAAGGTAGGCAATATATTTCATCATACTGTAATAAATTATAACATGCAGTATGTCAAGAACACCGACCAACTGCATGTTTCATTGGGAAAAAAGAGCACAATTAGGCCTGTGTAATCCAAGTTAGTGCAGTTCCTTTGCAGTTGATTGCCTTTAAGACAACTTTAAATTACATTAAAATATTCTGTGATATAAGTGGATAAAGTAAAATATAGTAGCAATCTAGATTAATTGCATGCACCTGTGGACTACACTTACCACTGCAGGGCCGTCTCCTTGATCCTGTCCATTACTAGAAGGTGGGTATGGTTCTTTAAAAGCAGAATCATCTGAGAACGTCTGGATTAAAAACACAAGAGCTGAGATTCTTAAAGAGAAGCACCTCAGTTAAGTATAACAGAAAACTGTGTAAACTACTTTTAACTAATACTACTTTTAACTACTAATTTTAAACTACTTAAAAAGTATGTGTCAAACAAAAGCAAATATAACAGGAAAACATTCAGCATCCTTAATGACATTAAACATCTACTTAGCGAATGCGGTTTTGATTATTTAGAGAAGACAAAAATAGACCAAAGAGGCAAGACAGACTGCATTAAATCAATTTTTTCATGGTGATTATTTCATACAACTGCAAATGGATGCAGACACTGAGTTTACCTGCTCTGTGTCTTTGAGTTTCTTGGGTGGCTCCTCCAATGAGGGTGAGTGGGGTCTCTTAGGGGCAGCTCCATTAAGGCCGTTGGGCAGGTCAGACGGGCTGGCGTTTGGTGAGCTCATACGTGGAATGACGTTTCGGCCCACCACAGTGGGAATAGTGCTGCCTACAGGGGGTGCAGTGGACTTTACCGTGGCTAAAGGTTAAGAGCCGAGAAAGAGAAGACACAGACAGACCCAGATCAAACATTTACACACCTTTGTGTTTGTGCAAACAAGCAACAATAACGAACTCAGCATGAGCTACATAAATAAATCAATCAATCAATCAATCAACACAGAAGCATGCAAACACTCACTTGCTCCAATAACTGGTATGGACATTCCCAGCTCTTTCCCAGAAGGAGAAGACTCAGAGACTGGGGAGCATTCCACATACAGTGGGGCCGGAGGTTTGGGAGGGGTAATACTGATCAAAGCATCACAAAACAATTTGATTAAAAAAAAGCAAGGCACAAGAATATTCAGAACGGCACTGTCAGTTAAACACAATCCAAACATTTCTAGTCATGATTTTGAAACTACCTGTCACCAGGGGTGGATGCTGATTTGCATGCTTTACTGACTGGGGTGGGTGAGCTGAAAGGGGTGCCTGTATCCGTATCTCTGGAACTATCGAGCTGACTGCCGTCCAGTGAACAACGTTTTGACCCCCCACTGTTAGAACTGCGGTTCAGGTCTCCCAGGCTCTGATAAGATGGCAAAATTAGAATTTCATGTAAGTTGTGCAAAACTACCCACAGTCATTGTTTTAGTCAACATTTCCATTCTAAGAGCTGTCCAAACCTTCTTCTTGCCCCTGTGCACCATTTCAGCAGGCAGGTACTGGTGTAGCTGCTTCTTCTTCACGTGTGTGGCTTCAATGGTCATCCCATCCTTCAACATGTTAATGTTGCTGGCCTGCCTATAGACTGCCCCCCCGCCCCCCAAAAAATAAAATAAAATTCCTTTAGGCAAATCTCTAGTACACCTTAAATTCTATAAGATCATATTTTTATTTAAATACAGTTAACTAATACACAAAAACATTAGTACAAATGAAAAAAGTAATTTACCGGTGTCTGTAAAGGACTGGATGTCATAGGTTAGGTCAATGTTCACACAATCAGCATTCTCCAGTTTCTTGAAGTTGATTCCAATGAACCACATTGACACAAACTCATTCCTGTACAAATCACGTTTAAAGTAAATGCCACTGAAGGGAAACCAGCAAAAGATTATGCCAACAGATATACTGTATCAAGTATCACATAAGACTCTGTCAAACCCCACAACAAAGCCCACGTCTTGGCTAGCATTTAAAATGCTTTGACGTGCATTCTGCACAAGTGAACTTTTGTGCTGTGCAAACCCAATGATGAAGTGTTAAGTGCACTCCAGTTCTAAGGTGAAATCAAGATACTTACTCGCTGCGGCTCTCCTTCGACCATGGGAAAGACTGCGGGTTTACGTGTGCAAGTGTGATGTATTCATTGCGCTCCAAATTGCCAACCAGAACTCTGATCTTAGACTCTACCAGACCAACCCTAAGAAGAGAAAACAGATGTATCAAAAGTCTGTGGTGCTACTCACATGGGGACAGCCCCTGTTCAATAACAGCAACTTGCAAGTTTTCTATGCAAAAGCAGTAATAAATGCTTTTTTTGCTTACCATTCCAAGTGATTCTCCTCAGTGGATGCACTGGCAGTGAGCACAATATAATGCCTGTAACAAACATACAAGCAGGCCAATTGTTAAAGCCTTGACACACAGTATAACAGTACAGCAGAACTGCAATATGCAGTCACTTACTTGTACTTCTGGAAAAAGTTTGGCGGTTCAAACAACTTGGACCAGTCAGCTTTGCCCTGAAGGATTTCATCTGTGACTGTAAGGCCTGGAGGGGGAGAAGTCTAACCATTGACAAATACAAGTATGTGCAGGTGAGTAAAGAATTTTATGCAGAGCTTTATTCCTTAATACAAACCATATTTGAATTCCTCGCTCATGATAGTGCGTGTGGAAGTGGAGACGTTATAGGTGGAATTCTGTTGGGGGTATGCAGGTGTGATGATCGGCATCAAATGGTATCTGTCTGAAGGGTTTACCTAGGGGCACAACAAGAGATAATGACAGATAGAAGAATAGCAAGCAGTTACATAAACACTGGGCCTTATATTTTTGGTGAAAGTAGGGGAATACGCTCACCCGTGGGTCCCAGACTGGCAGATTCAAGTTGCTGTCTTCAGGCTGTTTTAAAAGCACAGGGTTTGGCCACTCCCTGCAGTGCACACAAAATGAAATTGTGTTTAAAAGCATTTGTTTAAATATTTAGAATTTGTATAGATTTAACCGCAATAAGCTAAGGACCTCACCATTTGGAGAAGACAAGAAAGAACTTGTGCACAAGGGTGGCAGCCACAGCATTTGGGTAAAGCTGACAGGTTCTAGCTACCAGCATGGCCCAGGACACACCACCAAGGAAACCAAGCATGTTGGAGTAGATTCCACGGCCTGTAGGAAGCATTTCAAAATAAAGAAAATCGAAATGTACTGAGGTCTAAGAATGTCTTTCACTGTTTCACGGTAGAATGTTCTTTGAATTATGGCAGCATATAGTAGAATCATTACAATATCTAACTACCTGTATTTATAATGCTACTTCCTATCTATAAATGCTATGCTGTGTGAATATGAACACTGCTTATCTTTGAGATACATCAGTGTCCCTATATCAATCACCAACAGCTGCACTTACAAGACTTAACTTCTCATTCAGATATCATGTAGTTTATTGACTGTACGCAAACAGTAATATTACTCCCATGTTCGATGAGTACAGGTCAGTTTCCAAGCACAGAAACTCTGAAGCTGTACTCTGCAGCCCCCTAGTGGACCTTTAGGATATTGTTGGAGAGAAAAAAAAAAAAAACCCTCAAAACAGTAATGCAAACTTGTACATTTTTTCTTCCTTAGTCACCCCTTAAGACTGCACTCCTCAAAAGGGACATAATGTGTCTCCAAAGCCCAAAAAAATAGACATTTTTTAAAGTGGTATAAAGAGTGTAAAGAGGTAAAATAATAGCACAGATAAATCACTGGTCTAAAGGCATTACAATTGGGCAGATGAAAAAGTATAGAACTCACTGGTCTGCAGCAAACTGCTACATCCAAGAGTACAGCTGTAGACCATACCTTCAAAAGAAGCTGGCTATACTTTGCCTTCACCAAATGTTTAATGTGCAGTGTTGTTCAATGCTGTTCAGTCAGGTAACATTTTGTGTGCCGCAGAGTGAAATAGAATATGCTTTTTCAAACTACTTTAAAACTTCAGGCTGTTCATGTGGAGTTCAAGTTAGAAAAACAGAACCATGAAATTACCAAAAGTAGCTTTAGGACTCTGTCTAATTTAACTTACGCTTAGCCCACAGTTTGATCGCTCTCAAGGTAAGTCTGAAGTTCTCTTTATCAGGAACCAAGTACAGGATCTCATCAGTAACACGGCAACCTGTAAAAACCACCATTTGAGAGTTAGGGTGAGACAAAATAGTAGATGTAGGACTGACTGACTAGGTGTAGAAATTAAACAGCAACAAAAAGATGATATTAAACACCAAGGAGAAACTCAGGGAATTACCGTTTAGACTGCGAATACATCTTATGTCCAGGTTTCTAAGCAGAGAGTCTCCTCTAAGGTCCAGGTTATCAGGGATGGACGGCAGAGCAAGTCTTGCAAAAAGAAGATCAATCTGTGGACAAGCAGGTTGAGATTGAAAAGACCTCTGAAATCCAGTGTCATTCTGTAGTAGGAATCATAAAATTAGGAACTCTGGGTCCAAGCTGATTATGTCTATGGCAAAAATGAATGTCATTTTAAAATCAATGCTGTTGCATCCCATGGTTGACAAAAATGTTGCAAAGCCAATACGTTTGGTCCTGTGTACATTTGGTGAGGTTGCCAGCCTTATGATGTTAATTCAGTGTGCAGCAGCACTAGCTTGCATGTAGCAATCGCCATGTTCAGCTCCTTAACGACCTCTTAATTCTGGAGGATCTGGTGACGTTCTGAGGAAAAATGTATCGGCTTTGAAATGACACATTAGACCCAGATTTCCTAATATGGTCATGACGACACTTCCTCAGAAGTACGCTATAAAAATTAAAAAGAACTGCTTTACCTCAATCCCATCGAACTTAAATTTGATTACTGGTACAAAGGCATCTTCCACAGCCTAAAACAGAAGTATTGAGACACCTGAAATGACAGACCTGTGTACAAATTTGTAACAGAGTAGCACATGAAAAAACGTGAAGTACTCACTCGTAGGTCCTTGATCTCATCATGCTGTTTCAGTTTTTCAAAGAAAGATGAGAAAAAGTCACTCCTCTCAACATGACGAGGTGCCACACAAAGAGCATCTATATCAGCACCTGCACCAGAACAGAAGTTTGACGTGTTCCTTCTAGTTAAACGTCACAAATGTGATGTAAATGTTTGAATTCTAAGGTTATTTTAGGTCTAGCTGATCAACATTATCAAGAATACCTTTTGTGTGCACTCCCAGTCTGTAAGACCCAAAGGTAAAGATTTTGCCTCCAACATTCACTACAGCTGAAGGTGGCAGATTCTATAACAGAAGACATTTGTTTAGGACTGTTTATTGCCCATAAAAAGCCAAATGAAAAGGAGGAAAATCATAAGCAGGTTTACCTTTGATTCACTGATTTCTGCAATCCACTCTTTAACAAATGAATTAAGTTTTCCAAGAACTGCAAGTCTGACAAAAAAAATTGAACAATCGAAACCTTAGCTTAGTTTTCACCATGACAAACAGAAGCTCACACAACTTTGTCTCTGCCACACACAAATGCTGAAAATCTCATAAGTGTCACATTGCAAACAAGAAAGACACCAAGAAAACACTTGACAGAGTAGATAGCTGCAAGGGTGAATTTCCTCCACTTAATCAGTGTAGCCACAATAATATGCAGTACTCAATATTACCGGTTACTGGTCAAAACAGCGAAAGCACTTGGCAAAATCGACAGAATCAAAAGGCACATGTGATACTAACTACAGACCAGTAAGCAGAAGTCGTTTGAGAGCAGCTTCAGAGGTAAACAAAGTAAGTGGAAGTTGAGTATGAGTTAGTATATGTACTGAATTAAAAATGAATCAAAACACATGCACTCAACATTAGAATCTTCAGGGCCCATTTGTAGCTTAATTAGCTTCTTTCACAGCCCTCACCTGTGATTGAGCTCATCTTCATCCTCAAACACTCCAAAAGGTTTCATGGCCTCTATGAGCTTCTGAGTGTACAGGCGGTCTATCTCCCTGGGAAAGGCCAGGCTGATTGAGGACGTGATGCCAAAGTGTTTCTGAGGCTGCTGCCCACTAAGCATATTATTACTGGCTCTGGTGATTGGAACAAAGAAGTACAGTTAAGCATACATCTTTCTTTCTTATCAGCCACCATTTACCACACCATTCAGCATTAAGATCACAACTCCGAGGACCTAAACTGAGAAAAGGACTGAAGTATGAGGTCATACATTAAACTTCTTTTATCTCCACTATCAAGAATAATCAAAAAGGAAAGGATTAAGCTAATTTGTTGTTTTCACACTTTAAATGATGAAGAATGCCACATTATCTTAATAAATGGACAAAACTGCTAATACTTAGTTGCGGTATAAACCAAGTGTGAATTCTGTAGACAAAGTAAGACAATATCCTTTGTGCCAACAGACTAATCAAAAGCTTGTGCATACACTATATGTCCAACTGCTCAGCCAACGAAATCAAGGGTATTAACAGGGATTTTATCTAGATGTTGGCATACTGCTGTGAAGATCTGAATGCATTCAGCCACAAGAGCATTAGTGAGGTCAGGTACTGATGATGGATGGTTAGGTCTGGATCATAAATGTCACTTCAACTCATCACCCAAGAGAAGTGGTTCTCAAACTGGTCATCAGAGACCCCCAAGACAGTTCATATTTTTGCCCTATCCCTATGTGTTGCAAGTTAGGTTGGAGAAACAATCTGGACTGTCTCGTCATACCTGAGAACCAGTTTGAGAACCACTGCTCCACGGCCCAATGCTGGGAGGCTCATACATGTCCAGCTGATACTTAGTATTGGGCATGGTGACCTTAGGCTCATGTCCGGCTGCTCTAGGGTGTCTCATTCTATGGACAATGCTTTTCTGTAGAGATAAGAGTGTAGGCTATGAACTAGTAATCTAGCTACATGCCTCCAGTTGACAATAGCACACGTCGAGAAGGCTGGTATGTCTCTTTTACGACAACCTCAGATACCCAGCACACTGGCTCGGTCGAAGAAGACACGTAAAACATGCCAGTGCTAACACGAGGGGGTAACTTATGTTGCGCTACACTGGATCTTCTACTACCAAAACACAGTAATCTAACACCGTCATAATAATATTTCACATATAAGTTTGGTTTACGAAGTCATTTAGCTATTTGCCAGGGCCTTCGCTAGCTAACTTCCAACTGTTAATGTCTTAAAACATAGTTAGCTCGCTTGTTGCGAAACGATCAGCTAAAGTTAACGTTACTGCGATTGAGCAGTGGCAGATTTTCCCAACAGTAGTAAATAAAACGTGCCATATTTAAATTAAACATATAAGCAGCATCCATCAGAAGCTGCTAGGATGTCTGCTATGTTCTATAGCTTGTATGTAGCTACGTTCGCTAACTACAAAACAAAGTGCATCAACTACAGCTTTGCAAATCTCAGTTCCTTTATCCGACTCATTCCAACTTATCGACCCGACTTGGATGGCAAACAAAAGATAATTATTAGCCTAATCAAAAAATAGACACCGCAAATCTGTCACACGTTACACGCTGAGGTTGTCTGTGTTTAAGCGCACGAAGGATTCGTGAATCTGCAGAGAAATGTTTATGTAAAGTACAGTTTTGCTGGTTGTTGATGTTCCACCTGCTAGCAAGCTGTTAGCTGGCTAAATTAGCCTAGCTACGACTACTGTGTTACCGTTAACTCAACAGAGCACAGCGAAAACAGAGCAGCCCGTGCACAAGTGCGCGTTACTTACGCTGACATTTCTTTCATGACCCTTCGTAGAAAAGACCCTGTATATTTAGATCGCAACAGTAGAAAAGATGAACTCAGCCAGCAGCAGCCCCCCTCTTGCTCCTTCTCTCTCTCTCCTTATAACAATAGCTTTACTCCAATATGGCGCCCACCGGGCCACCGTGTCCCGACACGCTTTGCGCCTAGACAGCGATGACGTTGTATTTGTATTTTTATTTATTTTTATTATTTATTTATTTATTTATTCAAACTTATCCACGTTACTACAATGAAGATCATAGTGTACACACTATGTATATGTTAGGAAGTCACAGTAATAGTATACCACGAAAAATAAAAATAAATCTAAACAAATCAAACTAAATTAATTAATTAATCAATGAACAAAAATAAAACAAAAAGTACATTTAAAAAATAAATACATTTTCACTAAGGATTTTTTTGCATGAAACGTAGCTGGAATGATTAATAAATTTGTAGTTTATATCTTTTCTAAGCTTCTTTCATAATTAAAGTAGCCAAACAGGACAGACGACAGAATAGATCTTCTCTGTAATAAGCTTTGAGACGTCTTGCCATAGGTTTTTAGTGTTATGACAAGGAGTTCCTTATATTCACTTCATCCTTAAATTAATCTTTGAAATGTTTTGCAGGGTTAAACATATGCAAAGACGTACCTTATCTTATTTGTTTTTAAACATCAGTGGAGCAATAGTCAAACCTTTTCACCACTAGAGCCCTGTTTCTTGTCTGTTTTCAGAGAATTTTTTTAAACTATGAAGAGTGTCTCTCTCATTTACCTGGTTATTCTCTGACATGTAGCTGCTTTGATTTCATTCCTATGTTACAGAAGTCCCCAAAGATTCCCAAAAAATACCAAACTCCTGTCTTTTCTCTTATCTATATTTACAAGATCTGAAGGACATGCCAGGGCTCTGGTACACATCTGGAAAAAAGTAAAAAAAAACAGGTTTCCAAACCAGAGTGTATGTTGTAACAGAAGCAAATGTTTTCAAAAATACTCAAAATGCCAACTTTCTAAATCTGCTTAGGAGAAAAAGTGTTGGATAATTCCCCACAGCATGAGTGCACTTAGAAGACAAATGTAAAAATCTAGAAAATAATTTTTAAAAGTGAAAAAAAAAAAAAGATTTCAAATTTCAAAATTAAAATCAGATTCAAATTTCACTTGGAAAATCTTTTCAGCATTACAGGCATACTCAGTGATGAACTGAAAAGGAGACAGAAGAAAAAATCTCAGATGAATAATTTCCAAAAATGAAACCAAAGTAGAGCAGACCATTAAAATCCTATTACAGCTGCAGGTTCTCTTCTCTTTTTCTCTGCTCCCAAACAAAACTACTTTAATGCAAATGATACATTTATCACACTAATCAAATACATGAATTTTATTTGTTATTTTAAAATCAGAGCTGTCAATATATCTATGATTGGTCTTGAAATCATGCGAAAACGTAATACTAATGACTACAAGAAAGAATATTGGATGGCATTAACCAACATAGACTGTGTGGGTAGTGGCAAATGAACATCTTGTCGTTCAGTTTCAATGAGTATGAAATGGTTCCATCATGTCTGTAAGGATAGCTTGTAGATGGATATAAACAAGTTCTTATCTCATGTCACTGAGCTTTAGTGTTCTGGCTTGTATGCAACTTTAAGCCACATAGAACAGGCATGCATATGCAGACTAGACTGAGGAGAGGTAACAGTACGTCACTCAGACAGCTTGTTGTCTTGTAGTCCTTTATGCTCCTGTGTCTCCACTACAAAGCTGCTCAGTTATGCCCAGCAGGGGCTCCTCCCAGCACAGTGAAAACTTGTTGCAGTCTTCAGCGTCTTCAGAAGGAAAACTCAGAACCTCACAGCTCCTGAAAAGTACAAAACAACCTTTAAGGCTTAACAGATGGTCATCAAGATTTGATACCTGACTAGAGGCCTGTTTGTTGCCTTTTTTCAGAGTTAACATTTTTTTGAAAATGTGAGATTTTTCAAATCTTTGTGTAAATCAAGTGTCAAATTATGGTATTGAATTTAAGTTTTCATTTTGAGCCCAGCATTGCATATGTGAGTTACATACAAACATACACATATGCTGTCTTTTTCCATATGACATTTTCTGCTGCTGATATGCTTCCATAATGCATTAGATTAATATTAACATATTAGATTGACGTTCCTTAAGTATCAAGTTAATGCAGTAAAGAAGGAGTGAAAAGTTAAGATAAGTGCCACAAATCCACAACTTAGGGTGACAAAAAAGGACACCCAGCCATACCTTTGTGGGGCAATCATGCATTGAGAGTTAGTCTAGGTTGGCATATATGCAGGGTTTGAATTGAGGAGGGGTTTGGGGGATCTCAGACTGCCCTTAAGACTAAAGGGACCTCCATGAGAGAGGCAAAATTGAACTTTGGAAAGGGGGAGGGGGTCCTGTGTTATTTCCATGAATAAAATTTGAATTTTCTGACAAAATGAATGCGGTGAATGAGGTGACTGTCTTCTTTTCAGTTTTCATCATGTTCAACATTTGACTCCTCCCCCTGAACAAGCTGTAAACTCACTCAGCCCAAATTAATTCATTTAGCACACAAAACCACATTGTGAAGTTTAAAGCTTGAGCGCATCTCAAACTGCTGAGAAACTTTAGATATGTTTACTTAAAGTTAGCAACAGCAATGAAAACAGAGAAACTGTTAGCAGCCGTGCCATACACCAACCAATATATATTGCAAATGTTTGTACACCCCTGGTCAAAAGTTTTTTCTTAATGAAAATAAGTACACATCCTCTACAGCAGGGTTTCTTAATCACTGCGCCATAGACCACAAGTGGGCCATGTTGCACCCCTTGGTAGTCTTAGGGCTAATACTGAAGGTGATATAAAAATGAATTTGCTACAAAAATGAGAGAACAAATAATTGACTTACCAATAAAAAAATAATGTTTTCAAATGGTAAACAATATAAATACAAGCCCTGCAAAAAATGGCACACAAACGCAAATTTGCCTCTAGAAACAAAATACACTTCTCAAATGTTTGTTGTCCACTTGTGTCAGTACTAAAAAAAACTCTCACACACACAAAATAATTGTGTGTTAGAAATATTCCACTTAATTTGCTTATTTATGTTGACTGATGATGAAAATTTCCCAAAATGAAATTTTTAAGTAAAAAAGAATTCTGTTTTCCTGTGGGCCTTTATGGTTTTTTAGTGATAAATATGTATATTTTGAAAAATATAACATATATAAATACATAGGCTAAAACAGGGCAGCCCAGAAAATCTACATACATGCAGGTACCACATGAACCCTTATGTGGGCGTGTTTCAGTATATTTTTTTGTTTCTTGTGCAAATATTGCTTACTTTTTAGTTTTACAGAAGAGTATATTACATTTCTTTTGACAGTTATTTACCAGTGATGATAGTGAATGCATTTGGTGCATTAAATGTATTACAGCGGGTTCTTAACCAAGGCCTTGGTGGGGGGTATTTTTTTTTTAGGCTATGACTTTTCTTACATATAAGTGACAAAAATGGTCACGAAGTCAAAATGTCATTAGTTTGTTTGGCTGGTTACTTAGGTCTACATAGTGAGATGTATTTATGTATTAATTTAAAAAAATTACAAATGAATATTTCCTGAAAAAGGATCCATAGTGGATGTGCGCTGTGAGCACGCGCCGCCCACGTGGAGAGTTCAAAAGTTAACGGACTTTCCCGCTCTATTTCACCTGGTTTTCATACGGACGAAGCGGCAGCAGCAAAGATGAAATAAAAGAAAACGAAAGAGAGCATTACTTCAAGAAGGTAGCTACGTAATATCCAGATACATACGTCTATTGTGTAAATTCATGACATAGTTGAGTGTAACTAAGGTTGTGTGGTACTAATATTGGAAATTAAACTTGTAGAAAGTTCTAGAAGTTGCAAGTACATGAAACGTCAAGGTTGTAGAGGTTATTCGCCAGCGGACTAACGTTAACGATAACATTACGGCCTAACACCTGGAAAGCTCAGGATAGCTGGGTTAGAAGTAGCACGTCATTAATTAGTTACTAAAACCTGTTTTAATTTACTATTTTGCAAATGTGAGCTAATGCTACTGCTTGGAGTAAAATGTAAAATATCCACCAATGTTTGCATACAGTTTAAGATTAACCATATCAGCTAGCTTATATGTGAAAGCTAATTTAGTACATCGGATTTAATGCAGTATTTCAGTTTGGAGGTTAGCTAATAATGTATGTATGATTATACTGTAGTATACTGTATATTAGCCTGTGTTCTTAGGGGATAAGGTAGTGTCCTTAGCTAATTATAGGTTAGGTATTTTGGTAGGTGTTATCTTGGCTAACGTTGGGGAAATGCTTTATGCTTGTTTTCTGACTGCGGTTCCTTGGGGAACGTTAGCTGACATTTCGTCACGTCGTCCTGTGAGACAGAGCGCATGTAGGCCACGCCCACGCCGTGGGAGAATACAACTCTGCACTTTCCGTTGATTTGCATTGCTCGCTTCTCTTAATTGGTTTTAAACTAAAATTCCGAATATGCTGACTGTGGTCGTGTTTCATATTTACAGGTAAAAGGTCACCAAAACCTTATTCTTGCACAGCAGTAACTGTAAACTGTAAATGATAGCTGTTTTCACACCAACTTCCTCACTGACTTGAACAGGCTGTGAGTGATGTATGACTTTATTATTGAGTAACTTTGACATTATTATTATTATTATTATTATTATTATTACAGTGAATTTACAGCATATTTATCTAATACACAAATATATAGGTATTACAATTGTAGCTATATTACGTTATAGATATTTATATGTGCTTTTATTATTATTATTAATTATTCCTTGAAAGAATATGAATAATTGTATGGTTTATCTGGATATTTGGAAAATACCTGTGAATTAAAAGGAATTCACCTGCCTTGTGTCTACTAGGTCTGGACAAAATCTAAAAACAGCATGATATTCTCTAGTTAAAAAATCGCAATTATCAATTATATATACAATCAGATTCAGCAGAGACTGTGGGGAACTTACTTTACCATAGCTTGATGGCTTTTAAATGTCCCAATTATAACTTATCATTTTTACAGTAAAAGTTAG